GAAAGAATTCCAGTCGGCAAATTTAAATTTTTGCCAGTGCTGTGGCGCTGCAATCTTTGGCTATGTCTTGGGCTACTCAAATATTTTACGTTTTTGATACTAAATTAACTTCTGAAGTATAATTTTTTATTGTTTTTATATTTTTCAATATATTTATTTTGTTTGTACAAAATAAAAAAATAATTTTTAACGATACAATAGGCTTAACATCGACGAAAATTCAACGCAAAGCGACACGCAACGGAGAAAAATTTCAACACGGGATAAAATTAATATATTTTTTCGGTTATCCGAAAAATAAGTTATCCGAACAACCCCAGCCTCCAATTGGTTCGGATAAACGACGCTCTACTATAGTTCTTGTATTTAACTCTCAACAACGTCCCGGGATAATCTACCTCTGAACAGACTTCAGGAGATTATCACCTGCGGACTGGCACCTTCCGCGGAAAGGAGAGGATACAGGAAATTTTAATTTAACCCTACAACGGACGATCTTTGATATTGTAAGCATTCTTTTGTAACAATAAATCGGGACCATAATTATGTAACTGTGAAGTAAGTCTCTGGATAATTCGCTCCCATATTCGTTCCGGAACTATTCCGTCATTCTGACATTTTAACGCGAATCGGTAACCTCACATCCTTGTTACAACAGATGTAAAATTGATGGCCGAATGGCCGAGCTGTTAATATGGAGGTTCGTCGCTCAGGTTGCCCCAAAATCGAATCCGGATTAAGGACAACCATCGGGAAGTTTTCGGGGTGGTCCATTCTGGATATGTCGTTCCCCGTTCTCCACATACTGGCAGTCGCCAGTGTAAAAATGGACCCCCAAATGTTTACATTTTTGGATTCAGTGGACCTTGAAACGTCGGGAAAGGCAAAAAAGTTTCGGGTTTTTTTTTTGTATGGATGGATGTTAATGTGCTTTAATGAAGTTCTTATAAATTATTGCAATTCACAATTATTTACGAAACCAATAACCACCCTGAAAATTAAGCTTTTGACCATTCTATAATAATTAAAACTATAAAAAGTTTTTATAACAAAAATCACATAACAGATGGCGCCACACACAATTTTATTTACTGTATTATAATGTAATTAAAAATATAATAAAAGTTATCTTCTAAATAAAATCTCACAACAGCCGGGAAAGTTACGCAACTCGTTGCCGAATTTTTTGATTATGAAAAGAAAATCAAATCGTTCTTTTCCTGCAGTAGGCCCATCACTTTTCTCCATTTCACTATAGGAACAACTATATTATTTGATTCTTTGGTGTAAAATACATACACGACATTTTCTTTCGGGCAAGTAAATTCATAAAACTCGCTTATTTAATATACTGTATAAGTCACTTTAATTAACGTTTACGTAACTAAAGTATAACGTGCAACGAACGTTAGGTTAGGATGACGTTAGGTGATCGCTTTTAAAATGGCGTCGGATAAACGAAATATTACGAAATTTAGTAAAAATTGCGCTGTCGGTCAATCGGAAAGTTCGTCGGAAAATACTCGACGAACTAGAGGAAGGATTTCTTCTAGTTTTGAGGGTGGCGAGGTAAAGATGACGTTCGATTATAGAAAATATCGCTTCAAACCCCTTGTGGAGAATGGAAACCGAAGACGGAGGGTGGTAGAGAGTCTCTCCATCCCAATCCGTCATTCGGGGGATAGAAACGTGAAAAATGCAAATATTTAGCCTTAAAATTCAAAAAGAATCCGTGACGTCAATCGCATTCGAATTCGTTGCGAGCTTTCTAATCTCGCAACAATTGCCGTTTCTATGGAAACGCGTATTGTTGCGTCACTTTGCACATTTTTCGCTTGCCGAACGGACGTGTGCGCTCTTTGCTCTTCTTTCTGCTGTGTTTTTTTGCCTTTTTTCGGTGTTTTTTGCTACCCGAATGTGGTTTTAAGAAGACTCGTGGACGCCGACATTACATCAAGTAAGACATTAATTAGAATTTATCTAGCCGTAAGATTTTATTTTCGTTTCGTTTAGTCCAACTTTCGGCCGACTCGGACTTTGCATATTTGCGTTTTTCGTTTGAATAACCATCCGAAACGCTTTTAAACCAGCCGCCACATTGGAAAGCGACCGAAGCGCCGAAAAGGATTAAGTATTTGTTCATTGGTTTATTTTCGTAATTAATTAATTTAGATTATATTTTATAAACACGACCAAAGAATAAGGATTATTTGCAAATATTTATAGAAATTCAATTAAAACCTATTTAATACTAACTTTAAATACGAATTGCGTATCGTAATTTTAACTAAAATATACTCTGGTAACATTGATGGACGGAAACGGTATTCTGAAGCATGGGATGTTCCTCGGACAGGTCAAAAATTTCGCCCTTTGACCTCCGACTTCTCCGTTGAATTTATGTATTATAGTAGTTACAACGGCTTATTTTGCGAGAATTAAATTGTCTGCAAACACATTTAATACTAATACACTTAAC